AATCACCTTGGTTTAGCAAAGAGTTGACACACTTAAGAAATGTAAAGTCCAGACTTATTAGGAAACATAAAATACCGGTTCTCAATCTGTTTTTACTAGATATTTAAGTGCTCGGTCAAGATTTACCGTGCTTAATGCTCAGTGTTATAATAGTTACTTAAACCGTTGTAAGGTCCAGTTCTCTCAGGACCCGAAACAGTTTTATAATTTTGTTAACACCAAACGTAAATCTTATTCTTTTCCTTCCTCGCTGTCGTTCGAAAACATGACGGCAACCACAGATCAGGCAATAGCCGATTTATTTGCCCAATTTTTTCAAACGACTTACTCTACTTTAGATTAGTCATCACAGCCTTATTCTTACACCATGTCCAAGTCAAACCTTATATTCTGTCCCACTTTAACAGAAAGCTCTCTTCTTTTGGATCTTCTTCGTATTAAGCCTGTTTATTCGCCAGGGCCCGATGGTATTCCTGGGTGCGTGCTTAGGTATTGCGCTAAGGCCCTGTGCAAACCTCTTCACAAGTTGCTTACCTTATCTCTAGAAACCTCCCAATTCCCAAGTATTTGGAAGAAATCATTTGTTATTCCTCTTTTCAAAAAAGGTAACAAGTTAGAAGCCAGTAACTACAGAGGTATTTCTAAGTTGTCAGCTATTCCTAAGCTTTTTGAAAAAAATATTACTCCTCATTTGCAGCACCTTTGCAGATCAATCATTTCTCCGTATCAACACGGATGATTGGAGGACGAACCGTCGTCGCATGCAGACGTTTATTTATTGTGCTCCGGAAAAAAGTATTCAATAAAATCACAAAAGTGCAGTGACCGTTTCAATAAATCTACTATAACGCGAAAAGACGCTTTCTGCGATGAAATCGCGAATGTTTATATTGATTGGTCATTTAATTAATATAAAACTTAACACTTAAAACTCTAATTAACTTTACCACGAATACAATGAGTCTGAACGACGTTCGCACACAATGTCAACGTGAGCAAGACGAGAGACGGCTCTCAGCACAAAGAAATAACGCGTACTTCTCTTTTAAAGCAACCGAAAATAATGCAAGCTCTGATCAAGCGCGGGCAATTACCCCCAACTTGACCGAATTCTTAAACGTAGCGAGCGAGAGAGCGCGTTCTTGCTCCCCCTCGCTACCACCGACGTCTCTGCGGCCAAAGAGCGCTGAAAGTGCTCCAATGCAGGTATGCAATAACCTAAGCTCATCAGCAGTAACTAGCACCGCAATTTCTTTAACAACGTCAACTGTAACTACAACAACAACTGCAACCGCATCGACTGCGCGTTTAATGACATTATCAGCTAGCAGCTCAAATATTAATACGTCTGCCGCTGCGCTGCCCGAAAAACAGAACAAAACCAATGAATGTGCTAAGCCGCCTGTGCAGACTGGTATGGATCGCTACATCCAAATCATAAGGAAGCTGAGCCCTCTAAATTCTCAACGCAAAATAACCCGTAACAATGCTAGCCTAGCTGGAATAGAAACGCCCATGAACTCAAACCGATTTAAAATCTTGGAAGACGCCTATGACGTTGAGGCAGCCGAATCCACTGAAGTCGAGAAAAGGAAGCCAAAACCACCGCCTATTTATATTCGAGAAAAAAGTTCCAATGTTCTTGTCAACAAAATAATCGAGCTTATTGGAAAGGATAACTTCCACATAATACCTCTAGTAAAGGGCAACATCCAGGAAACAAAGGTTCAAATGAAGTCTGAAGATAATTGCAGAGTATTATCGAAATATCTTTCCGAGAATAAAAAGAACTTTTACACGTATCAGCTAAAAAGTAGCAAGGGACTGCAAGTCCTACTTAAGGGCATAGAGTCCGACGTAACGCCTGCAGAGATAACAAAGGCGCTTCAAGAGAAGGGATTTAACGCTAAGACAGTCTTTAACATCCTTAACAGGGATAGAAAGCCGCAGCCACTCTTTAAGGTTGAGCTCGAACCAGAAAATAAGCCCCTAAAGAAATACGATGTGCACCCCATTTACAATCTTCAGTTCCTGCTGCACCGCAGAATTACAGTTGAGGAACCGCACAAACGCAATGGCCCGGTACAATGTGCGAACTGCCAAGAATATGGCCATACAAGGTCATACTGTAAACTGCGCCCGCTGTGTGTAGTTTGTGGAGATCTTCATGACTCCGCACACTGCCCAGCGAGAAAAGATGACTGCAACTCGAAAAAGTGCGGCAACTGCGGTGGCAATCACACTGCTAACTACAGAGGCTGCCCTGTTTATAAGGAGCTGAAAAGTCGCATCCACCAGAGAGGAACTGCCGCCCGCACCCAAAATAAACAGATGACATCTTCCAGATCAAACCCTGAAGTCTTCTTCTCGACTGCAGCCAGATCCTCACTAGGACCCTTAAACTCTGATAAAAATGTGACTTACGCAAGCGCTTTAAAATCAGGACTGGCTAACCCTGCCTCAAAAAGCTCATTTCTGCAATCAGCATACCAAGAACCGAACACGGCTCAGCAGCAACAATTCCCGGAGCAGTCAAAAGGCAACTTCGAAGATATGATATACAGCCTGCAGCAAAGCCTTACGGAGTTTATGTCGTTTATGCGCACAACTATGCAAGATTTAATGCGAAACCAAAATCTATTGATTCAAATGCTGGTTTCACAACAATCCAAATAATGACTTCCCTAAGGATATCTACGTGGAACGCCAACGGCGTCTCACATCATAAACTTGAGTTAGCTCAATTCCTACTCGACAACCATATCGACGTAATGCTGCTTTCAGAAACACACCTTACAAACAAATACAATTTTCAACTACGAGGTTATTCATTCTACGGAACAAATCATCCAGATGGTAAAGCATATGGTGGGACTGGAATTCTAATCAGAAGCCGTATTAAGCACCACTATCATAACAAATTTGCTAAAAATTACCTACAGGCCACATCTATAAATATACAAACAAATACTGGCAACCAACTTACACTAGCCGCCGTATACTGCCCCCCTCGCTTCACAATAGCTGAAGATGAGTTTATGCAGCTTTTCAACTCACTAGGAGAACACTTCATAGCAGCAGGGGACTACAACGCCAAGCACACACACTGGGGATCACGTCTCGTGACTCCAAAAGGAAAACAGCTTTATAATGCAGTTATAAAAGCTAAGAACAAGCTGGACTATGTTTCCCCTGGTAGACCAACATACTGACTAGCAGACCCAAGGAAACTACCCGATTTAATAGACTTTGCAATTACCAAAAACATTCCTAAAAATCTGATAAGCGCCGAATGCCTTTCGGATCTTTCATCGGATCACTCGCCTGTCCTGTTTATTCTACTCCGACATCCAGGCGCATTGGAGCAATCGTTTAAATTGACATCACCGAAAACTAATTGGGTTAAGTACAAGAAATACATTAGCTCTCACATTGAGCTAAGTCCTCATCTCAACGATGAAGCCAACGTAGACAGATTTGTTAATACACTGGAGTCTGTACTCGTCTCTGCAGCTCGAGTTTCAACACCCCAAACTACAAGTACGCAAAGCAACCAAAAGAAGACAAATCTACAAATAGAACAGCTCGTCCTCGAAAAGCGACGCTTACGTCGAGAGTGGCAACTCCACAGATCGCCATCTGCTAGGCAGAGCTTAAAATATGCCTCACGTCAACTCACAAAAGCTTTACAGCAAGAAGAAGCACATGTCCACCGACGCTACATAGAGCAATTGTCAACATCTAGTACAAAACACTCACTATGGAGAGCTCACCCTACTCTAAGCTCACCGAAAGTAACCGTGATGCCTATTAGAAATCCCACAGGCGGCTGGGCGCGCAGCGATGCAGACAGAGCCAGCACGTTTGCCAACCACCTTAAAAATGTCTTCCAACCAAATCCTGCCACTAGTGCGTTCACCTTGCCGACTTTACCAGATGAGCCTCAGCTTCAACATGAACCAATTGAGTTTCGCCCAAACGAAATCGTTAACATCATCAAAAATCAGCTGAATCCGAAAAAATCCCCGGGCTCCTCATAACTCCCAAAATGATCATTGAGCTCCCATATTGCGCCGTTTGCACTATCACCCAGCTTTTCAATGCCATCGCAAAACTTGGCCACTTTCCAGTAAGATGGAAAAAGTCGATTATAATAATGATAGCAAAGCCGGGAAAAGACCACACAATTCCCACGTCGTATAGACCTATCAGCCTACTATCATGCTTATCTAAACTCTTTGAAAAATGCGTATTGACTCGGATAAACACATACCTAAGAATCCAGGAAGGAATTCCGTCACATCAATTTGGGTTTCGTGAAATGCACGGAACAATTGAGCAAGTCAACCGGATAACATCAGAAATTCGGAACGCTTTCTGTTCAGTTTACTGCTTGTCCCGATAGTTTGAGAGCGAACCGATAGGCTGATCGTTCGCTCATCTGGACCTGTGTAGGACGAGGGCAGAGAAAACGAAACGCAACCAGAACCAACAGTCTGCACGGTCGAACAACGCTGAACGCACGCCGCCGGTCTACCGAAATTTGCACTTTATCATACTTTTGTTAATCTTGGAATCAGAATAATTATATCGCTTTGAATTTATCTTTTGTGTTTGCCTTTGCCTGGGAACCTCTCGTACAATGACCCCTCGTTGACTTAATACAAGGGGACACAACTGAACATGGTGGCCCATGAGGGGAACCTGCAAAGCAAATACAGTTCGTAAAAGGTTAATTAGAATTCCGTTAAATAAATTTCGTCAGATCGACACGCCGGCTCAACGAAGCAGTGCAAAGAAGACGTCGATACATAAGCGCAGCAACGGCAACCCGGACTTTGCAAAGCGCCGTTATCTCTTCCTTCCTCTTTGTGGTGTGGTTCTGGTATGCAAGCAGAGTGAGTTACCAAGTTGTGTGCGAGACAAGTATTACAGATTTATCTATTACATAATTATTCGGGGTGGTGAGTTGCGCAGGCCTTAGTCTTACACCTGCCAACATGAAACCTGAGTCGGCTGATTTGGACAAGTTGGTGAATCTGCAATCAGATCGTCACCAAGCTCTCAGGTCTGTGTTACAGAATTTTAGGAAAGATTCGCAGGCGAGGAAAACTAAAATTTATCTCAAAAAAGGCTGGACCAAGTGGAGGAATTACTGAACGCTTTTCGGGAGACGCACTCGGTGATCGTTAATTTGGATGGATTTAGTGATTCAAGTTACGCCACGAAGAATTTCCAATCAGAATTCGAGGAGCGTTATATGGACGCTTATTGCGCTCTCGCCGAAGACTTCGACAGGCTTGGACCAGAAAATACTACGCCGACAGCAGCCGCCGGGAACGCCGACCCGGAGTTGCGAGTAAACATGCCGCAAATGTCGGTGCCTAAATTTTCCGGTGCGTGTGTGGACTGGCCTGGCTACTACGACGCCTTCACAAGTCTAATTCATAACAACAACAATTTGAGCAATGTCCAAAGATTGCACTTTCTTAAGGAGTCGTTGCCCATAAGTCGTGATAATGACATTCGTCAGATGCAGCTCACGGATGTAAATTATGCAGTGGCTTGGGGAATGATGATCAAAAGGTACAACAATCCTCGTCTCGTTTTCTCACACCATATGAACGCAATCTATGCGCTGCCCAGATTGCAAAAGGACAGCACCGACTCTCTGCGGTCGATGCTAAGCACGGTCAATGTTTGCCTAGCTGCCTTCCGCCGCGTTCAAGCCTTGGGCGGGGAATCGCAGCACTGGTTGGCGCATTACATAGCATCGAAGCTGCCCAAGGAGACCCACAACGCTTGGGAGCACCACCAAGGTAGCTCTTCAACGGTTCCATCTTGGAATCATTTCTGAACGATCGGCTAGTCATAATGGATGCGATTGAGAATAGAAGCTCGTCGTACGACTCCAATGCTGGCCCAGGTTCAACAGACCCGATCAAACGCGTGCGAGTGCATAATGCACAGGAGCAACCAAGGCGTTCGAATAACCCTTGTTATCACTGTGGCGGCGAACACATCCTACGTCGCTGTCCACCTTTCTTGGCGCTGGACTGTTACAAGCGCAAGGACATAGTCAGTAGGGCTAAATTATGCGTCAATTGCTTGAGCAAGTCGCATGCCCTGTCTCGCTGCACCAGCAACTAGTGTTGTCAGGTTTGTGGTCAGCGCCATCATACGTTGCTACATTTCCCGGTTCCGGCTCAGAACCAGTCTTCGAACGCTCAATCGCATCCTGCCCGGCCGCCGACACCGCAGTTTGTGACGCCGGCACCCAGGGAAACAGTGTCTGCACACAACATACAGTCCAGGTCGGATCAAAATCCGCATGCATCTTACAGATGTCATTCGGCGACGTCATCCAACCTTTCCTCGAAAAATTTACTTCTCGCTACGGCTCGTATTATGGTACGAAACCCGACCAACGGCCTGCAAGCAGTAATAAACGCTCTCGTCGATCAAGGATCTGAGGCAACCATAGTATCTGAACACGTTGTTCAGTCCCTTCATTTGAAACGATCTGCCGTCAGAGCATCCATTTTTGGGGTAGGACAAGGGGGCGGTCGTCGTTGCAAGTATACGGTCAACCTTGAAATCAACAGTATTAATTCCAATTTTTCTTTAGATGTTGATTCCGCATATGTGCTCAATTCCGTAACATCCGGCCTCCCCAGTCTCAGCTTCTCGCCGAAGCGATGGGATCACATCCAAGGGCTCCCGTTGGCTGATCCAAATTATTACAGATCGAAACGAGTTGATCTCATCTTGGGAGTGGACCTGTTGGCACAAATCATGTTGCCAGACACGAAGATTGGATTGCCCGACGAACCCATAGCTCAAAATACCCGTTTGGGATGGATACTATCGGGGCGAGCGGAAGGAGTTATAAAATCTTCCGAACTACGCTGTCATCGAGTAACTTTGGACACGGAGTCATTGCTCAAACGATTTTGTGAAGTCGAGTCGGTTCCTGATCGTTCTACGGAAACGGAGGAGGATACATGGTGCGAAACATTTTTCCAGGAAACACATGCACGTCGATCGGATGGCCGCTACGTAGTACGATTGCCCTTTAAAACATATTTGGATCCAACAATGGTATTGGGGAGATCTCATCAAATGGCGCTGAATCGGTTTATTCAATTGGAAAGGCGTCTGTCGAACAACCCGGGGCGGTGGAACAAATATGCGGAGGAAATCGAGGAGTACTTTTCGCTTGAGCAAATAGCGCCTGCTGTGGGCAGTGAGAGCAGTCTAATGAAGCGCACATCTTCGAATATGCATGTAGCTTCATGCGTGCTTCCGCACCATGCGGTCTTCAAGGAGGAACTCCATTCGATCAAACAAAGAATCGTATTCGATGCCTCCTCAAGAACTAGTAACGGGAGATCATTGAACGATATACTTTGTATCGGACCCACTTTGCAGAACGACATGTCATCGGTTATACTCAACTGGCGGAAATATCGTTTTGTTTTCACGGCGGATATACAGAAGATGTATCGCTGCATAGATGTTCACCCAGAAGACGCCCAATATCAGCGGATTTTATGGCGGGCGGCGGATAGAGCCATCAATGTTTTTGCGTTATCGACATTGACCTTTGGGACGGCTTCAGCACCGTTCACAGCTATCAGAGTTATTCAACAGCTGGCAAAGGATGAACAGCTTTCATTTCCTAAGGCCAAGGAGGTGCTGATGAACGAAATATATGTAGACGACATTCTTTCTGGAGGACATACTATAGAGGAGGCAAAGGATAAGCGGTTGCAGGTATCGGGTGCTATAAAATCCGCACGCATGGAGTTGCGAAAGTGGGCCAGCAACGATTCGAGACTTTTGCTCTCGATTCCGTCAGAGTACCATTGCACTCAGACCCTGTTAAGTTGGGACACTACAGATCCCATTAAGGCTTTAGGAATGTATTGGCTGCAAAACAAGGACTGTTTTAAATACCAGATCAACTTCGAGATGCCAGTCAGCTCCACAAAGAGGATGATCCTATCCAGTATAGCAAGGTTGTTTGACCCGCTGGGTCTCATTGCGCCGGTCATCATCTCGGGAAAACTTATATTGAAGGAGGTTACCATGGCCAAGACAAAGCAGGCAGATGGCACGCAGACGGTTCTGGACTGGGACGACGCGGTTCCTGATAATATCGCAGAGCGATGGCGAGTATTTCGAGACCACTTACTGAGGATCGGCGAGATAAGCATAGATCGGTGGATCCATTACACCCCATCTTCAATATCCTCAGTGCAGATGCATGCATTTTGCGACGGATCTTCCACGTCTTATGCAGCCGCTGTGTACCTAAGAGTAGAGCATCAGGACGGAAGATGCTATACATCTCTGATGGCTGCAAAATCAAAGGTTACTCCCACCAAGCCCCTAACTATACCTCGAACAGAGTTAAGTGGAGCGGTATTGGCCATCAAATTGGTGAGGTGGCTAACTATGGCTAAGTTTCTGAGCTCCTTGCGGGTCCAGACTTTCTATTGGACGGATGCTACAATTGTGCTGCACTGGTTGCATGGAGACGTCAATAAATGGAAGACCTTTGTTGCGAATAGAGTCGCCTTCGTTTTGGATCATTCCTCGCCAATTCAGTGGAGGCACGTTAGCACTACCGAGAATCCAGCGGATTGCGCTACACGCGGTCTCACTCCCATCGAGCTAAAGGACTTCGAGCTGTGGTGGCGAGGGCCAGAGTGGCTCGTACGCAATCAAGACTGTTGGCCATCGACAGATTTCGGTCAAATTGGCATTAACGACGCTGCTTTAGAGGCAAAGGTGGCAAAAATGCGAGTTCACCATGCAGTCCCGCAGCCGTCGTTTCTTGAGAGATTTTCAACACTCAGCCAGGCTTTACGAGTCACAGCCTACATCATGCGCTTCAAGGACAACGCGTCCGGCAAGGTAGACAGGCGCCTTGGGCCCTTAATCACTGAAGAGCTCGACTACGCTTTATTAGCCGTCGTGCGTATCGTACAGCGCGAATCGTTCGCAACCGACTTGTCTGCAGTAAGGAACTCCAAACGGTTGCCCTCGCGGAGCAAATTATTAAATTTGTCGCCGATATTAGAGGAAGGCATCTTGCGGGTGAGGGGACGACTTCGCCATTCTAGTTTGTCGCACGAACGTCGTCATCCGATAATCCTGCCAAGCTCTCATCATTTCACCGAATTAGTAATACGTCACTCTCACTGTCTAACCCTGCACGGAGGCGCGCAGTTGACTTTGGCACACGCGCGTCAGCGTTTTTGGATCCTGACAGGACGGCAAGCAGTTCGAAGGGTCATACGGAAATGCGTTCGCTGCTTCAGAACGCGACCAACTACTACGGCTCAGCTTATGGGAGACTTGCCCGTTCATCGAGTCAACCCTCCTAGTCGACCATTCATTGCCACTGGTGTCGACTACACAGGCGCAATAGAGATTAAAGCAGCGCGTCTACGAGGCACTAGCTTTTACAAGGAATACATCGCTGTGTTCATTTGTCTCGCAACCAAGGCGGTGCATTTGGAGGCGGTGACAGGTCTCACCACGGAACATTTTTTGCTGGCTCTGGACAGGTTCACCGGGCGACGAGGAATGGTTCAGCACCTTTACAGTGACAACGGTACCAACTTTGTTGGTGCAGACAATGTAATGAAGACGGTGTACGGTCAGCTTCAAGCGGATTACGAGAAGCTCATCGCCCCCAAGCTTGCATCGCAGCGCACAACATGGCACTTCAATCCTCCTCTGTCACCTAACTTTGGTGGGCTTTGGGAGGCCAATGTAAAGTCGGTTAAACACCATCTAAAGAGAGTCATTGCAGATCGTCGGCTTACCTACGAAGAGTTGTCTACGGTGCTCGTAAGCATAGAAGCGTGTCTCAACTCAAGGCCGCTTTGTCCTCTCACGGCTGACCCGGACGATCTAGAAGTGCTCACCCCAGCGCACTTCCTCATCGGAGACTCAATGCTGGCGCCGCCGGAATATCAACCACAATCCAGATCCTTCGCAGAGCAGTTCCTCATCCAGCAGACGATGATACGACATTTCTGGAAGGCTTGGAGTCGTGACTGGTTAGCGCATCTTCAGCAAAGGCCAAAGTGGTGTCAGGAGACCGAAAGCTTTCAGCTTAACGACCTTGTCATTATCAAGGACGACAGGTTCCCCCATCGCAATGGTTGCTCGGGCGTGTTATGGAGGTGCACCCAGGGACGGACGCACTGGTCCGGGTGGTGACAGTTAAAACTAAGCAGGGGCAGCTGAAGCGATCCGTAGCAAAGCTCTGTCCTCTGCCAATCCGCGCCTAGACGCACTCACCTCGATTTATAGACTGTATCTTGCGCACACATCTTGCTCTCATCTCTCCATATTAGATACCGAGGATACGCATCCGAGCTCGCTTATCATTACCACAGCCTGGAGAACCCGGACAAGCGAGGATGTCTCATGCTAGGTCTAGCATTAGCGGGCGGCATGTTCAGTTTACTGCTTGTCCCGATAGTTTGAGAGCGAACCGATCAGCAGATCGTTCGCTCATCTGGACCTGTGTAGGACGAGGGCAGAGAAAACGAAACGCAACCAGAACCAACAGTCTGCACGGTCGAACAACGCTGAACGCACGCCGCCGGTCTACCGAAATTTGCACTTTATCATACTTTTGTTAATCTTGGAATCAGAATAATTATATCGCTTTGAATTTATCTTTTGTGTTTGCCTTTGCCTGGGAACCTCTCGTACAATGACCCCTCGTTGACTTAATACAAGGGGACACAACTGAACACTTTCTAAAAACGAGAGTACTGTACTGCCATATTTTTAGATGTCTCTCAAGCATTTGATAGAGTTTGGCTAGAAGGTCTGATGTACAAGATCAAGACAATGCTCCCCTACAACACCCATAAGCTTTTAGAGTCTTACCTCTACGACAGAAAATTTGCTGGTCGATGCAACACTACCATAACTGACGATTTCACTATTGGAGCTGGAGTTCCTCAAGGAAGCGTGCTCGGGCCAACATTATATGTCCTCTATACAGCAGACATCCCAACAAGCACACGACTAACAACATCTACGTTTGCTGATGATATAGCCATTCTCAGCCGCTCAAAATGCGCGATGCAAGCAACTGCTTAGCTAGCTCTTCATCTGGTCGATGTTGAAAAGTGCCTATCAGATTAGCGAATTAAAGTGAACGAACAAAAATGCAAGCACGTTACGTTCACCCTGAACAGACAAAACTTCCCGCCGCTCATGTTAAACCATACTCTACTCCCGCAAGCAAACGAAGTGACATATCAAGGAGTACACCTCGCCGGCACATTGAAGCCAAAATAACACACCTAAAGCTAAAAGCCAGTAGCCTTCATTGGCTTATCAACGCTCGGTCTCCCCTTAGTCTTGAATATAAAGTCCTGCTGTATAACTCGGTAAAACCTATATGGATGTACTATCCCAGTTATGGGGGAATGCCAGCAATAGCAATATTGACATAGTCCAGCGAGCTCAGTCGAAGATCTTGAGAACTATCACCGGGGCACCGTGGTACGTTCGCAACGAAAACATACATCGCGACTTAAACATTCAACCAGTCAAAGATGTGATCGCAGAACAGAAGAAAAAGTACTTTACCAAGCTATCGTTGCACCCCAACCACCTGGCGAGAGGTCTTACAAGGTTGATCAACCAATCACGCCTTCGTCGCAATGACTTGCCCACCCAGCGACCGACTTGAGGCACGCGCAACCAGAAAGCAGTCATACTGTTAGTTAAATTTTAATGTTAAGATTCGTAAACTTATTGTTAGTCTCAAAATTAAGAGAAGATTCAATAAATAAAAGCAAAGTTAAAAAAAAAAACACGGATTTTTTAAACGTATATCCACAATCACAAACCTTCTAGAGCACACTACATTTGTGATAAAAGGCTTCAATAGTAGTTTTCAAACAGACGTCATTTACACTGACTTTAGCAAAGCATTTGACTCTGTAAATCACTTACTTTTTATTCAAAAACTTGACCTGTTAGGTTTTCCAGTTGATCTGCTTAAATGGATTTCAAGTTATCTGAATGGCAGGTCACAAAGGGTCCTTTTTAAAATTTCAATTTCTGAAATTCTCCGTGTTACTTCCGGTGTCCCACAAGGGAGCCATCTGGGTCCGTTACTTTTTACATTATTTATTAACGATCTTCCCTCAATTATAAGTCATTCTCGCGTACTTATGTACGCAGATGATGTTAAGTTGTGCCTGCATTATAAGGACATTTCCTGCCATTTAGACTTGCAATCCGATCTAGATAATTTTCAAAACTGGTGCCGAGATAATTTACTAAATTTAAACGGTTCCAAGTGCAAGCTGATAACTTTTTATCGGGCCAATCCGATATACGCGACTTACACGTTAAGTGGCAGCTCTTTGGATAGAATAACTCTTGTAAACGATCTTGGCGTTCTCTTGGACCCTAAACTAAAATTTTTTAATCACATTTCGTCCATGGTTAATAATGCCAGAGGAGTGCTTGGATTTATTAAAAGGTGGTCAAAAGGATTCGATGATCCTTATTTGACTAAAACTTTATTTATTTCGCTAGTCCGTCCGATTCTGGAGTATGGGTATACGGAATACATATTGGTCGTTTTGAATCTGTACAAAAAAACTTCCTTCTTTTTGCTTTACGGCGCCTAAACTGGGATGCAAATCTTATCTTACCTTCTTATTCTAGTAGACTTCTTTTGATAAATTTACCATCCCTAGCCAACCGTAGAACGATGCTTGGTACTATCTTTATTTATAACCTTATACATGGTGATATTGACTGTTAAGTCTAAGCCTTGCATGAGCCTTTCAGAGTATTATGTTCTGACTATAATAGACTTTTTCCTGTAATATCAAATCTTGACTCTCTGCAGCTCCTAAAACGAATAATACTTGCTTCATTGGCACAAGATTGATCTAACTTTTACTTTTTTCCCCGGACCTTTACCTTTATTTTCCTATCTCGCGTCTATCTTATCGCGAACGATAACGGCTGCGGCCCTCGGTCGGTTGGGCGGGTAAATAAGCCGTGGGACAAAAAAAAAAAAAAAAAAAAAGGAAAATCCCAAGTTAAAAAAAATTGGCGCCAAACGTGGGCCGTGCGATTAAAAAATTCTAAAACAAGACTTTAAAATAAAAGCAAAAAAGGTTTTAAAGTAAAAAAGGAATTTATCGCGGCCAAAAACCCGATACAACCCACGAAAATATAAAGCTTGTGTTGATCAAAAAAATAAGGTGGAAATTAATAAATGCAGTAATCCCCTTAAACTCGATACAACCGGTCAAAAATAAAAAAAAATTGTGTTGATCAAAAAGTACTAAGGTGGAAAATAATTAATAAATAATATCCTTAAAACTCAAATTACAAAATAGTGATCGTAAAAAGAAATTTACTGCTCAGACATTATAAAAATTAAATAGTGACAAAAAAATCATTATCGGAAAAACAATTTCATTTAAAAAATATTTACAAACATTAACAAAAAAATTCATAAAAGCCATCATACAAAAAAACAAAAACATTCGGCAAAAATAAACATTGAAAAAAAGGAAGACCTCAAGTTAAAAAAAAATCTGAAAACCAAAAAACGAAGGACGACCAAAAGCAGGATCAACAACAAAGAGAAGGACAACCCCAACAGGATCAGCAAACAACGATAATAAAAATAAGGAGGACTATTCGTGAGCGATAATACCTTTTTTTATTATTTATATAAGAAATTTGTAAAAAAATGAAATAAAAAACAAAGTGGAAGACTTAATTTCTGATTTCGAAAAAGTTCTCAAAATGTCGGAACCTTCAACCAGCCAGGCTGGAGTAAATAAAAGACTCCACATAAATCCGATTCTAGAAAATACCAACCATCAGGCGGTAACAAACAATACAAAGTTAAATGTAGGAGATTTAAAAAACAAATTGTTAATTTTGAGTTAAATCCATTAAAGGAGGAGATCGTAAGTTTAAGATCGCAGCTTTCTCACAAAATAAAATCGGTTGAAGATTATCAGATAGAGATTGTAAATCCAAATATTAAGTGCGACACATCTTATGAGATCATCAAATCTGTTAGAGAATATAAAGGTGAAGAAGATAAATATGTAAGCTGGAGAGAATCAGCTGAAATAGCCATGGGTCAGTATTTCCAGAGGGAGTGAAAGGTTTTATTCTGCCATATCTATATTAAGAAACAAAATTACCGGCCTCAACGGCCAAATTTCAGATACTATTTTCGCAATGAATCCATCTGACCTACATAATGCAATGGTCATAGTTCAGGAATTAAAAAGCAACAACATAAGGGCTCATTTCTCAACTACTCAGAGAAAACATAGTGAGCCAACTCTGGTGGTAATATACAAACATATTTCAATCAAAAGCCAAGACAACAAAACAATAATTATAATATCCAGCGGAACAATAATAATTTAAGGTTTAACCAAGACAACAACCAGAACAGAAATAATTATGGTTATAATAATCAGAATAAAAATATTACTTGGAACCCGGGTAAATTTAATAATAATCAACAAAATCAGTGGAACACTTATAGACAGCCACAAAATAAGCCAGATCCAATAGAAATAGACGAGTCTATCCAGATTCAGAACAGGGCTAATAACGGTTATAATCAAACCTATAATAAATATCAAAATAATAATAATCAAACTAAACAATTTGAGACCCAGAACACTGAGCACGGCCAATCCCAAAATAAAAGGGTACCAACTGGAACTGTTAACCAACCGGCTAACAAGACGATGAGATTAAATAATATTGAGGAGGACCATTTTTTAGACAAAGGTCAGGAGTAGGCTTACCCTACTTAATTAGAAATGACACAAAAATAAATAAAAAATTAAAAATATTAATTGACACAGGAGCAACCGCTTGTTATATTAGAACAGGAATTTATAAAAATAATAATGAGTATCCACAGTGAATGGATATTCAATAATTAAATATTATCACTGTAAGGATGTTTCTGGCCAGGCCGGGGTGAAACCTCAGCGGGGCCAGAGCTCTCCCCCACAGAACAATTTATGAAAAGAATGGGGGGACCTTGGTGACTTGTGGGCGGTGGGCGACGGGTGTTCGACGACGGGGCGTTGACGGGGCTAACTGGGAACAGAGACGGGCAATGGATACAGCCGTCGAACATGGACGTTGGACGCGGCCGGCGGGCACGACAGTCGGGCACGCCC